CATAAATAGCAAGGGGCCCCCTTAGGGTACAGAGGCGGGGGGCCCCCCATCTCTCTATTTTAGGGTACTAATATCCTCCACCAACCATCCCCTCTAGTAGGGGGCCCCTAACAGGGGCCCCAATAGAGGAGGCCCCTTGGACAGGGGCCCCTTTCTAGGGGCCCCTCGAAGGAGGCCCCTGTCCAAGGGGCCTCCTCTATGAGGGCCCCCCTTGAGGGGCCTCCATATTAGGGGCCCCGCAGGAGGCGCCCACAAGGAAGGGTCTTTCTATTAGGGGCCCCCTTCGTCCTTCGGGGGGCCCCCGAGTGGGGGCCCCCTTCTGTTAGTTTGTACGTTGTGGGGCCCCAAGAGAGGAGGAGGGGAAAGGAGACAAAAAAGGAGACAAAAAAGGAGACAAAGAAGAGACAAAAAGGAGACAATATAAAGAAAAGAAAGCCTTACCGATTGCTAGTAGCAGCAGCAGCAGCAGCAGCAACAGCAGCAGCTGTACTGCAGCAGCAGCAGCAAATAGAAAGAAAAGAGCAAAGATGTTCCTATTAATACTTCCTTCTTCTTAATCTTTTATATTTAATGCATGCAAATGACTCAACAGCAGCAGCAGCAGCAGGAGCAGCAGCAGCAGCAGCGGTAGCTTCCGCAGCAGCAGCAGCTGCTGCTGCTGCTGCTGCCCGGTTGGGGCCCTCCCGAGACACCCGAGATAAGACAAGAGGGGGGCCCCTCTTATCTGTTGTTGTCTTCTTAGTGTTGTTGTTTGTGTAGAGGTTTATAATAAGGAATATAAACCCTAAACCCTAAACCCTAAACCCTAAACCCTAAACCCTAAACCCTTTTTTTTTTTTTGCTGTCTCCTCTCTCCCCCCCCCCACGTCTTGTATTGTTGTGTGTCTCCTTCTGCAGCAGCAGGAGACAAAGAGTGTTAATAAGTGTCTCCTTCTTTGTGTCTCCTTTGTTTTTATCCCTTTTACACCATTTATTTTTGCGACGAACAGCAGCAACAGCAGCAACAGCAGCAGCAGCAACAGCAGCAGCAGCAGCAACAGCAGCAGCAGCAGCAGCAGAAGACCGGCAATGGCGCGTCTCGCGTTTTCTTTTCTTGCTGCTGTAAGGAGGATATATAAATATGTATATGTGTCTCCTAATATATTTTTAATCCTGTGCAGCGCAGCAGCAGCAGCAGCAACAGCAGCAGCAGTAGTTGCAGCAGCAGCAGCAGGACCAGGAGCAGGAGGACCATTAGTAGCAGCAGCAGAGCAAGGAGGCAGCAGCAAAGGGGGCCCCCAAGGAGGATCAATAAGTTTAGTAGAGTATTATAGGGGCCCCTCTTCCTTAGATCTGCTGCAGAAATCAGCAGCAGCAGCAGCAGCAGCAGACACAGCAGCATGTACACAAACACTAAGAGATGCTGTTAATGCTGCTATCTCTGAGGTTATTGGTAAGCATATACACCCTATAACACCACTCCCTTCCTGCTGCTGCTGCTGTTGCTGTTGCTGTTGCTGTTGCTGCTGTTGCTGTTGCTGCTGCTGCTGTTGCTGTTGCTGTTGCTGCTGCTGCTGTTTGGGGCGCCTAGCCCTCCCGCTTGTTTCCTTAGGGTAGATACGTGCAGCAGCAGCACCAGCAGCAGCAGCACAACAATCTTTACCATCACCAACACTAGCAGCAGCAACAGCAGCAACAGCAGCAACAGCAGCAGCCGATGTAGTATGTGTTGCATGCATGCATGCATGCATGCATGCAGGTAATCGTGAGTTAACGGATTATCTGTTGCCTCTTTGGGGCTTGGAGGGTGTATATCTTCCTCTCCTTGTATGTGGCATAAACAGCAGCAGCAGCAGCAGCAGCAGCAGCAGCAGTTCCTCAACAGGTATGCCATGGCCACTGCAGCAGGAGCTGCAGCAGGACGATTTGCTGCAGCAAATACTAAAAAAAGGGACAGTTACTGTTGCTGCAGTAGGGAAGGAGACACCTCATGGTGTCTTGCCTATTAATAATCCATTAGAAGGAGACTATACTAGTAATACACCTACAGGTACTCTTGCTGCTGCTGCTGCTGCTGCTGCAGTTGCTGCTGCAGTTGCTGCTGCTGCTGCTGCTGCTGCTGCTATAACACCATTTACTGTGTACAATTAATACACATATAGGTATACATATACATCAATATAATCAGCAATTTGTTGCCGTTTGCTGCTGCTGCTGTTGCATTTGCTGCTGCTGCTACTGTTGTTGCTGCTGCTGCTGTTGTTGTTGCTGCTGTTGCTGCTGCTGCAGGTTTTTTTCCTGATTATATGCGAGCAATATGGAGAAGAATAAGTAATTATTATAATCATGATGTATTTATTTATTATAAATTTTATAAGACAATAGAAGCAGCAGAAGCAGCAGTAGCAGCAGGAGCAGCAGACATGACGGATATAAATTTCTTAACTGCTCATCGTAACAGCAGCAGCAGCAGCAGCAGCAGCAGCAGCAGCAGTAGCAGCAGCAGCAGCAGTAGGGGAGA